CACAGGTTTCTCTTTCTTCTAACATTCCTACAGTTTCAGCATTCACAATTAATTCTTCATGATCCTGTAAGGATCGACATGGGTTCAGGTCACATCACACAAAGTGCAAGTCCGCTTAAAATCGCTCTTCCAAACGTTTTGACATGAAGTCCATCATAGTGAGCGACATGCCTATTTGAGAGAAAAACCTATCTCCAACCGCAATATATCAGTTCCGAAATCATCTTCACAACCCTTGTTGTGTCTTTTCACACTGTAGGCGCCCATTGGTCGAGCGCTATTNCAATATGCTCACGATAACTGGTGTAAGTCTAGAAAGAAAAACCTGTATATTTGAAAACTAAACTGCTCTACAGCAACGACGTCAGCAATTTAAATAAATTGGTAGTTGGTTGCAGCAGTAGAATAAAATCAGAGCAATACTTGACGAATTCGGCAGCAGAAGTCAGAGGAATAAGCGCTCAGTCGAATAATGTAGTGAATAGCAGAGTTGCGGTCTACATGACCATCGGCGCCCCAGCTCTATTCTAGGGGTAGATTCATCCCCCGGGGAGCCAATGGGGTCGGGCTTCTCTGAGCTCTCGCTAAGGTAAGGTCGCAGAGACAAACATCACATGATTACCAAGGGCTGTCGATTCTTCACCTGTTTATAGGAAAATACTTAGCTCCATTGCAACTATCTTGACACAGAACAAAGGCAAAAACCCCATTTGAACACTCGCGCCCTCGGCAAACATTTCCTCTCCCTCCCCTACCCCGGGCGTTATGCATACGGGCCATTGAGTCTCTAGCTGCTGCGCTTGTCAGACTGGCTGCGTTCATACTAGGTGCAGTGTACTGCCGTCTGGTGCAGTATACTCCACCTAGTATGAATGAAAGAAGAAAAGAGAAAGAAAGAGAAAAGAAATAAGGGTGTTTCAGTACACAAGTGAAATAAACATAAAAAGGCTTAAAACTTTTGAATTACGCTTACATTTCTTCATTAAACTGTATCAAATCGATATCCAGTAGATCCGGGCCAGTATCTCCTCAAGCAGGTCGATTAGTTATGGATCTTTATGGAAGTACCTTCTTTTTTGACAAAAGTGTCACAGGTTTCTCTTTCTTCTAACATTCCTACAGTTTCAGCATTCACAATTAATTCTTCATGATCCTGTAAGGATCGACATGGGTTCAGGTCACATCACACAAAGTGCAAGTCCGCTTAAAATCGCTCTTCCAAACGTTTTGACATGAAGTCCATCATAGTGAGCGACATGCCTATTTGAGAGAAAAACCTATCTCCAACCGCAATATATCAGTTCCGAAATCATCTTCACAACCCTTGTTGTGTCTTTTCACACTGTAGGCGCCCATTGGTCGAGCGCTATTCATGTGAATCAGCGCTGCCACGGCATATCTTCGCGATTGCAGCTATCTCTGCGTTCTAGCCAACAGAGGGTGTGGAGGGTAGAGACGCAGCGGGGTGATGACATGAGCACGCCTGAGTCATCAGTACCCTCCTTTCTTTGCGCTATGGCCTTTCGAAGTCAGAGACGAGAGAAAGTTCAAGTTGTCTCGTAACCCTGCAGAAATAGCACCACAACGGGTGAAGTAAAACGACGTATGTCGGTAGCTGCACATGTTCGCGGAGTAAAGAGTAGCAAGGTGCACACTAAAGAGCCGCGTCCGAGATGTTCCCCTCGTATGGTGGGTGGGCGGTCAACAATCGATGTGAAGGGATTGGAAAGCCCTACTCGATACAGGATGCGAGGTAGCGATTCTGCCGATAAAAGCGCGGTAGTGAGGAAAACGGATTACCCAAAAGTTTGAAAATTACAGATGCTTCAGGAAGAGTTATGAACTTCCTCACCGCGGTGAGATCGATGTGTTAGACAAAAGTGATGATAAAAAGACTTCAGTACAGATGTTACTCTCTAAAGATCCAATCATTTTGGTAACTAATGTGATTACACAAATGGGGTACAAGATTCAAAAAGTGTCGGCCCCAGAAGAAGCTGAAGGCACAGTACAGCAAGCATATAGAGATTAAATGCCAAACTCCTTGGTCAGAGGCAATGCTGAATACAAAGACCGACGAATCCTGGAGGGTCTGTGCGACGTTGATGCCAACGGAACAGCGAGAATAGCCATCGTCAACACAAGCAGTGAACCAATGGTTATAAAGAAATGGCAAAGAATAGGCGAATGGGAAAGCGCGTACCGGGACGATATGCACTTCAAAGATGCTCCGACAGATATGCTCTGCAACCAGGGCAAACCAATGTCTGAGAAAGAAAGACTAGACAAGCTGTTCAGCTTGGTGGTGGGGAATAGAGATGGAAGAACGCCATCGCCAGAGCTGCGTGACATTATAACAGAAAAGAATCAAGTGTTTGCTGTAGAAGACAGTGAATTAACGCAGACTACTCCAGTCGCTCATGATATCGACACGAGAGACACGAAGCCAATTCGGCAGAAAACAAGGCCGGTACCCGCATTGGTGCCCGCTACGAATTTGAAGAAATTTTAAGCAGCTTGCTTCAAAGAGAGATAATCCAGCGATCAACATCTGAGTGGGCCTCGCCGGTAGTCCTATTGCGGAAAAAGGACTCCGGTTCGATCCGGTTGTGCATAAGCTATCGACAACAGAACAAATGGGTTACTGACAAATTCTCTATCGGCTGCAGCAAAGGAGAAAAGTGCCTTCACGACGTCGGAAGGTTTGTTTCGATCCACAGTTCTTCTATTCCGACTGACCACGTCCCCCGCCGTTTTCCAGCGTCTAATGGATACGGTGCTTCGTGATTCAAAGAATAAGGAAAATTTTGTATATATCGATGATATCCCTATTGCCACGACGTCAGAATCGAGACACTACGATGTCATAAGCATAGTTATGGACGCGTTGCTGAAGGCTGATCTGCGATTAAAGCCTCAAAAATGTGTACCACTTCCCACTTCGAGAGAGTGTGACGTTTTCGGGTCACAAGATAGATGAAAAGGGTGTACACGTCGACCCAAACAAGGTTGTGAAGATAAAAGTGTTCCCAAAGCCTATAAATATAGCAGAACTCCGGACACTTCTCGGTATGTGTAGCTACTACTGGAAATTTGTTCTTGATTTTTCGAAAATAGCAAGTCCGTGATTGAGCTGACGAGAAAGAAGCTGCCATGGCAATGGGGCGTTGAGCAGGAGGAAGCATTAATTGAGTTGAAAGAGGTGCTATCAACTACACCGGTATTGGCACAGAGGAGGAGATGTGGAGGGAGCGCAATCTTGGAAAAATCCCTACATAGTTTTTACCGACGCCTCTTGCGCGGGCGTAGGAGCAGTACTCTGTCTCGAGGAATGGATGATTCTCTCCATCCAATATACTTTGCATCAAAACGTTTATCAAGAGCCGAGCGTAATTTTCATGTCACAGGCCTAGAAGCGCTCGCTCTCGTATTTGCTTTCAAAAATTTCATTTCCTCATTTACAGCATAGAAGTGGTCGCAAAGACGGATCACGCACCCTTGACTGCCATATTCCGAAGAGCCAATGTTTCGGCACGCATACTGAGATGGGACTTGGAATTCCAACAGTACAGATTGTCTATTGAGTATGTGAAAGGGAAAGCAAATCCTGTGGCTGATGCACTGTCACGAGGCGTTCGTATGAATGCATCAGAAGTAGATGACACTTTTACTGAGGAAAAGATCGTATGTAATGTTGGGACACAAGTGAGCACAGAATGGCTAGAGGAGTTACGAGAGGATGAGGACTACGAACCTATCATTGTTGCACTAGAAAAAGGAAACCTCGACAAAGAAGTGAAGCTACCCTCTACGCCGAAAAAATTGAGGGTCACGGACTTTTTGATAGAAGATGGGCATCTGAAGCTCAGAGTGGGAAATGGAACATCGGTTTTGGTTGTTCCTTAAAAAAAGGAGAAGAGCAATTTTCGATGAGAATCATAGTGGCCCCTTGGCAAGTCATCATTCCGCTAAGAAGATGATGAAAACACTATGGAAGGTCGTGTTCTGGGGAGGTATGCACCGAGATGTAAACCGTTGGGTGAAAAGTTGCAGAAATTGTCTACTGACTAACCCACACAAGCAGATGATTCCTAGCTTAAAACCTTTTGTGACAAGTAAACCATTTGAAATAGTTGCAGCTGACATACTGGAGATGAGCCCCAGTTTGTCAGGGATGAAGTATAAGCTTGTAGTTGTGGACCACTTTTCCAAGTGGGTAGGCGCTTATGCGATGCCCGACAAAAACGGTGCCACTGTTGCAACTACACTATTTCACCGATGGATATGCGAGGGAGGGCAATGACCCAAGCAAATTCATACCGGTCAAGGAACTGAGCTTGTAAACTCCTTATTGGAGGTAGCCGGAATAAAGCACTCCGTAACAAAGGGGGGCAACTCAAGAGAAAACGGCGTTATTGAACGCGCGATTGGGACTATATAGAGGATGTTGGAGAAAAAGGTGGAATTCCCCGATAAGTGGGATGTGATGCTCCCTCATGTGGTATATTCATAGAACATCACGCCACATGAGGCCACAGGCGAAAGCACTTTCTTTATCTTGCATGGAATTGTTCCCATGAATCCTTTGGGTACGATACCAACTGCTGATGTCTCCAAGTACAAGGTATTTGCGTATGACTATAAGACGAAATTGCTCAGGGGACTGCAGCTGATAAGAGAAGAGGTGAAAGCCAAAAATGAGAAATACATGGCTAAAACGAAGGAAGTGTACGAACGGCGCAAGCACGTGGGCGTCCTTTCTCTGCCGGTGGTGGATGGATGAATGTTCATGAAATTGCCACGGGAAAAGACACGAGGAAAACATCCCAAACTGACTGTGGACTAGGACGGGCCATACCGTGTTTTGCAAACCGATAAAAAATCCGCGCTTATAACAAAAATAGGTTGCAATGAGGATGCTATAGAAGTACAAAACGATCTACTTCTGGAGTGCCCTCATGGGATTTCTAATGTGCCGGCTGAATTAAAAACGAGAAGAGAGAGTTGAAAGAGTTTTTTCCTCTCGGTGGCCAGGCTAATGATCAACGTACTCTTTTCAGGATGGAACGAGAATTCGACGTTCCTAATGACGAGTACATCCTGCATGCTCAGTTTCGATGTCGCGGCCATCATTTTCCTGCAATACGAGGAGAGCCCAGTTTCACGCTCGCCAGTTGTCACGTGTCGACAACGATCACCGCAGGGGACCTGTTCAGTGGATTGCCGCATCCCGCCGAGAGTTTTACTGTGGAATGTGTCATTGAGCCGGCTAGGGTGTTCTCCATTTGGACCCAACCCGGCTCTGTAGCACTGAGGGCGCAGCGGATACTCAATTCGGATGACAAGCCGTTCGACCCACGTTCTCTTGATTTTGCATATGCCTTCTTAAGGACCAGGTGTGCGCACGTCAGCAATATGGCACGAGCGGTTGAAACTGCAACGATCATACGTCACGGGTCCTTATCGCAAGGATGACCTACGGTGCCAAAACGGATTTTCGAATTAGGTTGGCTGACGGTAAGGAAGATCGATTGAATGAGTTCGCTTCTAGTGCAATGCTGGACCGCATTCATATTCGGATTCTTTTGGTAGTACCCATGGTACTTCGACGAATGGCTTGGATGAAAGGTGGTAGTCGCACTAGTGTATTCTTCTATGGCGACTTCTCGGCAATCAAGGCTAAGATGGATAGCATCTTCACAGGTGACTTCGCAACAGTAGTAGTGGTTTTGCCTCCAGAGGAGCCATGTAAGGTCACTGCTTGGCTTGCTATCATGTCGGCTATAAACCTTTGAACAACTTGTGGAGCACATATGTATTTGGTGAATGGGCAGAGGACAGTGAACGTTGTCAGCTGGAAACACGTTACTATTAAAATGCGTAGTCACATTGCCAGCTATGTCGCAGAGCAGCCGAAGCACGCCCAACTGATAGTGGTGCTTTTGCAACAGAATGTTGGTATAATGGACACTCGTGCCGCTATGCTACTATGGGGATTGAAAAATGACCAGTTATGGATGTCCGAGGACTCCACACGTCTCTTCTACCAATCCTTGCAGACTCAGTTGGAGCCTATGGTAAAGTTGAAGGAACTTACCTTGACACCATTTAGACCGCATAAGAGGAAGGAGCCTGGACAGCCGGTTCTTTCAAAGGGTAATCCACATACGAGCCAAGGTGTCGGTAATCGTAAACATAGGAAAAGAGCACTGCGCAGAATTAGGGACAAGATGAGAGCTGCCACCCATAAAATGCAGGAAATCTAAGTTGATAGGAGAGTTGTGGCTATGGAGTGGAACCCCGGCATGTTAAAATTAAAGTAATTTTTCTCTTCTTTTTTTGGTGTTTCGATGTTAGTAAAAATTCAAATAGGGAGAGCTCGCAGCGATCACGTGTACATGCGCGGTTTTCCGCCAAAAATCAGGTATATAATAGGCAACCCCAGCAGAGGGACCGGTTTGGATTCGGATTTGAAATAGAGCGGTGCCAGGACGCGGTGGCAGCGTCACCTTGCTTTGTTGTAACTTGTCTTAATCGTATAATAACCGTCGTGTGAATTTTTTTGTCCTAATCAAGTATCGCTGGCGTTTTCGCTCACTACAGTGAAACACACTTTTGACTTGGGGGCCAAGCCGTTTGCAAGCGAGTAGGCCGTAGCGAATAGAGACTTTATTAGCAATTGTCTGGCTGCTCTTAAAGGGGTGCAAGCGAAGCATATGTTATGGTTGTGCATGTACTCTCAACCAAAGGCTGGCTTGAGCCCCCAATCAAAGGCTGGCTTGAAATCTGCATAGCTAATGAATGCCAGTCATTCATTAACAAAACGCAACCACCCACTTATTTGTTGCCCATATCCCCCACAGGCAAGGAAATCGACATAGGTTTACGGGCTCACGAAAGTAGTGGAGCGCGCGAGCGAATATTGGTTTGCAATAGAGCAAAATTCGGGATCATCAAAACTTTTTATCAAAAACTCTACTAGACAACGCACACTGCTGCAGCAACGATAGCCATTCTGTTCTACTTGATCATTATAATAGTGATGGGTATTGCATGGACATCGGTCAAAATCTATGAAAAGGTCTTTACCCTAGGATCGAGGGATCTAACTGCAGAGAATATTGCGACATGTTATTTTGAGTTAGTCTAAGTTATACGATCAGCGCTCACTATTTGTGTAGTGATAAGCCTAATTTCTTCTAGCAGCGCCTGCCAGCATGGCTTCATGCTTCACTCTGCGAAACTTGTGTGCAGCGAAACAAATCACTGCCATCCAGCAACACAGCAGAGAAATTCAACATTCAATATTCAACAGGTTACAATTAGAGCTCTTCATTGAAATTCGGCGCGGCAACAAATCTGTGGGCGTGGCAGAGTTCGTGAAGAAAATGGTGGGATTCAAGTGTTCCAAAGGCATAGTATTCTTCATACGGCCCACAGCAGTGATGAACATTCCATGCAAAACATTGCGCTAACGTCGGCTCATGACAAATATGTTAGATTCAACCCTAA